CAGACCTAGATCGAATATTACCTGTATTTTTATACTAACCAGGTTTTGTATTTCCTATTTTTACATTGTGAAATCTTTACACGTTTATGAATCGTCCGACTCATTGGCTAAATAGAACCACTAGTTTGTTTTACTATATTGTTTAGACAGATGGGGAGGAGATTGTTGTGATTCTGGTTAGCTGCAAATGTTATTATCGATTGTTTGAGTTACCAAAATTCGGTCAGTTTAAAATAATATTATTAATTCAATAATGAATTATATTCACAGATACAGATGAATGTCAGAGTTACCCCTGTCACAATGGTGGGACCTGTATTGATGAAGTGAACGGATATCGGTGTGATTGTGCAGATGGATGGGAAGGAGAAAATTGTGATTATGGTGAGCTTGAAATATTGTTATCGATTGTTTAACTTACCAAAATTCTGTCAGTTTAAAACATTATTATCAATTGAATAATGAATTATAGTCTCAGATAAAGATGAATGTCAGAGTGACCCATGTCACAATGGAGGGACTTGTATTGATGAAGTGAACGGATATCAGTGCAATTGTGCAGATGGATGGGAAGGAGACAATTGTGATTCGGGTGAGCTTAAATATGTTTATCGATTGTTTAAATTAGAAAATTCTGTCACTTGAAAATATTATTATTGTAAGAAGATTTGTCTCCTTAATATTACAAATATTCACCATTCCACAATCTCTCTACAACTTTGGACTTCCGTGTGTCAGTATATTAACGTTATATCACCAGAAAAATATATCAGTTGTATTTATACACCCGTCTTGTAATAACGGTGGAACATGTGTTATAACATGGATGGATGTGGTGGCGACCAGTGTGATTTAGTATTTTTCTTCAGATACAGATTTTTAATTTATCAAATGTCATCATATATGGACATTATTGTCAATTCAACTCGAAAATAAATTATATTCACAGATATAGATGAATGTCAGAGTAACCCATGTCACAATGGAGGGACCTGTATTGATGAAGTGAATGGATATCATTGTGATTGTGCAGATGGATGGGAAGGAGACAATTGTGATTCTGGTGAGCTAATAACATCTTTGATTAATGTTTATATTATGAAGTTTGACAATGTTTCATTTATGATATTACATACACATGTGCTCTATGTAAAATAGAGTTAAAACCAATCATGTATCACAAGATGTGTTTAAATATTATAATTGTTGCATTATATATTATTTCATAAAGGAAAACATTAATATAAGTGCCAATATTATTTTAGGGTACTACTGTTCTAGCAACCCATGTCAAAATGGTGCAAATTGCAGGGACATAACGTTGGGATATGAATGTATCTGTTTACCAGGATATACAGGGTTAAATTGTGAAACAGATGAGCATTTTAAAACATAATATTATACGAATATAGAATGATAACATAGTATTGGATATTAATGTATACGCCTTTGTATATATCATTTTGATATTTAAACTGTATTTATTATATTATTCAACAATTTGTGTCATAACGGATGTACTTGCTTGGATGAATTGAATGGATATACTACTACTTGAATGTGAAGATGAATGTGCAGGCTGAAAATATTATTATAATATTTTCACGCATTAAATTTTCCTTATTAGGCGTTTAAGAAACAACAGATTATTGTAAAGACATAATAGCATTGCATATTTCTGTTTTTATGTTTCATTAAAGTATACAATTTATTGTCACATGACGAGCCCAACTTGCTTTCTCTACAATTGAAAGAATTGTGATTCTGGTTAGCTGCAAATATTTATATTTATTTGTTGATGGTTTAAAAAATCAAATTCTATCAATTAAAAAATATAAGTATCCATTGAGTATTGAATTATATTCTCAGAAATAGATGAATGTCAGAGTGACCCATGTCACAATGGAGGGACCTGTATTGATGAAATGGACGGATATCATTGTGATTGTGCAGATGGATATGAAGGAGACAATTGTGATTCTGGTGAGTAGGAAATGTTATCTTCAATTGTTTAAATTACTAACATTCTGTCAGTTGAGAATATTGTTATCAATTAAATATTGTCTTATATTCATAGATACAGATGAATGTCAGAGTGACCCCTGTCACAATGGAGGGACCTGTATTGATGAGGTGAACGGATATCAGTGTGAATGTGCAGATGGATGGGAAGGAGAAAATTGTGATTATGGTGAGCTTGAATATTGTTATCGATTGTTTAACTTACCAAAATTCTGTCAGTTTAAAACATTATTATCAATTGAATAATGAATTATAGTCTCAGATACAGATGAATGTCAGAGTGACCCCTGTCACAATGGAGGGACCTGTATTGATGAAGTGAACGGATATCAGTGCAATTGTGCAGATGGATGGGAAGGAAACAATTGTGATTCGGGTGAGCTGAAATATGTTTATCGATTGTTTAAATTAGAAAATTCTGTCACTTGAAAATATTATTATTATAAGAAGATTTGTCTCCTTAATATTACACATAGTTACCATTGCACAATCTCTCTACAACAACTTCGGACTTCCGTGTGTCAGTATATTAACGTTATATCACCAGAACAAATATATCAGTTGTATTTATACACCACTATTTCTTTACTATGAATTTAGTATTTTTCTTCAGAATCAGATTTTTAAATTATGAAATTTATCATATAAGAACATTATTGTCAATTCAACTCAATAATAAATTATATTCACAGATATAGATGAATGTCAGAGCGACCCCTGTCACAATGGAGGGACCTGTATTGATGAAGTGAATGGATATCATTGTGATTGTGAAGATGGATGGGAAGGAGACGATTGTGATTCTGGTGAGCTAATAACATCTTTGATTAATGTTTATATTATGTAGTTTGACAATGTTTCATTTATGATATTACATACACATGTGCTCATTGTAAAAATAGAGTTAAAACCAATCATGTATCACAAGATATGTTTAAATGTTATAATTGTTGTATAATATATTATTTCATAAAGAAAAACATTAATATAAGTGTCAATATTATTTTAGGTTACTACTGTTCTAGCAACCCATGTCCAAATGGTGCAAGTTGCAGGGACATAACGTTGGGATATGAATGTATCTGTTTGTCAGGATATACAGGCTCAAACTGTGAAACAGGTGAGCTGTTCAAAACATAATATTATTCGAATAGAGAATGATATCAAAGTATTGGATATCAATGTATACGCCTTCGTATATATCGTATATATCATTATATCATTATAATATTTTCACGCATTAAATTTTCATTATTAGGCGTTTAAGAAACAACTGATTATTGTAAAGACATAATAGCATTGCATATTTCTGTTTTTTTTTTATTAAAGTATAAAATTTATTGTCACATGACGAGCCTTACTTGCTTTCTCTACAATCGAAAGATTGTGATT